CTGTTGAAAAGAAAGAGAAAAGCAGGCTTGACCTCATCTTATGCAATCAAGTGTGCGTACAGTCTGTCTATGAACAAACAAGCGAGATGAAACAAGCTATGTGGTGGCGAACTAAAATGTGGCGGCCACTACATAGTTACTTGGAGTTTCTCCCTCTCTACCCGACGCGACGGTGAGCAGTGGACCGCGTGGGCTCGGCGTTACATACACAGCCTGTGGAGATCGTTTTAGTGTGGCCTTGCGATGGACTCCATCTTGGAGTGCGGGATGAGGGCCAGGATGGATCGGGGTCGCATCCTGTCGATGTCCATCTCAGACAATCGCTTCACAGCGTTCAACTAACCGTTAAGCCTAACCGCTGATGTGTTAGTTATCTGCGCTTCTGCAACCCCAATCTGCGCACTTAACTACAAGCTGCCTGCAAGAAAACCATGTCCACCGGTCCAGACTCCAGGAAGCCGACGCTACTCTTCGTCGGCGAACCTGTCCTCGAACCCAACCGTGAGAAATGGACCAAATTCTCCCAAAGCTTCAACATCATACCATATACCCGTACCACGAAGGAAGATCTCCTAGCTTCCCTGAAACCGGGGGGGAAATATTCGCAAATAGACGGGATCATCCGTGCCAGCAATACCAGCAATAATCTCCCTGGCTTCGATAAGGAATTTATTTCCCATCTACCACCATCGTTGAAGATCATTGCGTCTGTGAATCATGGTTACGACCGAGAAGATACGGAAGAACTCGGCCGACGAGGAATATGGTATTGTAACGGGGCCGGGGGAGCAAATGATTCTACGGCGGATTTGGCGTTGTTTCTTATTATCGCCGCTTTTCGGCACACGAGCTTTTGCGAGCATACTTTGCGCACAATCCGGAAGGGAGATTACTTCGCTGTAGAGAAAGACGTCGTTAAAACCTCCCACAATCCCCGCGATAAGGTTCTGGGGGTCGTGGGAATGGGACAGGTCGGACTGGCAAGTGCAGCGAGGGCAAAGGCATTGGGAATGAAAATACATTATTTTGGTCGAACGAGAAAGTCGCCGGAAGTTGAGCAACAGGCTGGAGGTGCAGTATATCATTCTACGCTAGAATCGATGTTGGCGGTTGCGGATTGTGTGCTCCTTGCATGTCCGCATTCCCCCGAGACGCATCACTTATTGAATAAGGAAACATTCAAGCTGGTGAAACGGGGTGTGAGGGTTGTCAATGTTGCCAGAGGCAAGTGTATAGATGAAGAAGCGTTGGCAGATGCTATTGACGAAGGGATTGTTGGAGGCGTTGGCCTCGATGTTTATCACGATGAGTATGCTGTCCCCGTACGATTTTTCTACTTTGACGAGTTGTCGTCATGTTGACACGCGAGTGAACAGGCCCACTATCAACCCCAGGCTGTTGGATAATTGGAAGACGACGTTGCTACCCCATATTGGTGGAGCGTGTATTGATACACAAACTGTCGGTCTTCCTCTCCGTGTAACTTCGCTCTCGGGATTTGACTAACCAGAAGGATAGAACTTTGAGAGAATAGCAATGGAGAATATTGAGGCCTTTTTTTTGGGAGATGGCAAGCCTCTAACTCCCGTCAACAATGTCGCAGGGCCACGGCTTTGATGGTACCAACTGCAGAGTTGATACAACACTGACGAGGAGTGATGCATGCGTGTTTTGCATATATATATATGGATATACAAGAACCACATATCATGCATAGAATTTTTTTACCTAGTTTGAGTTTTTAGGATATGATTGGAAATGAATATTTCTTCAAATAAACCGTGCTTGATCATGGAAGCAGATGATGATAAAAATATCAATATAACAAACATTTCTTGCACACACTTCACTTCAATCATGAATCACAGAAGATCAGTGACCATCTGACTTGATCTTGATGACTTGCACATCATCTACACCAGTTATGACAGAAAGTCATTTGTGTCACTGTACTTGCTGTTTTCAATCATTTTTTAATTTTTTGCTGTCAAGAACAACATCTCTCTCATCAACATCAACATCATTTTTTCAATCATAATCAAGCTTGTGATTCTGAGACAGATCATGTGGTTCAGAATCAAAATCATCACTGATGACATCATTTTGACAAACATGATCAGCATTATCATTCTTCTCTATTTCATTTGCACAGTCAAGCTTCAGTACTCACATGTTCATCAGAAAGAACATGATGATTTTTATTTTTTACTTCTGCATTTTCTCAATTTCAGTGTCTTCTCATTGAATGAAGCAGGTCACATTATTCTTAAAAATGAATTACTCAAGAGCATAAGCAATCTCATTAGCCATCTCAACTAACACACCATGCACCATCTCAGTCATGTCAGCTTTAGCCTCAAACTCAAACAGTTTACTCAACTCAGCAATGACTGAAATCTCACTCTTCAGATATGAAAGTGACAGAACAAGTACTGAGATGAAGGCACAAGCTTTTATTACATGATTATAAAAAAGAATGACACAATGCTCATATAAAGGCACAAGCTTTTATTACATGATTATAAAAAAGAATGACACAATGCTCATATCACAAACTTGTCTGAAGATGAAAAATTTTTTTGTCATAAACTTTCTGAAGCTCTTCTTTCTTACATGAATACTTTGAGATGTTGTGATCTGAAATGAGATCAAGATGAACATCATTTTCTGATGATCTGTCATCTTTTGACAAATTCAAATATTTGTTGAACATTTCAGTTTCTGCATTCACCTTCTGCATGCTGAACTGAAACTAAATGAAAAAAAGTTGATTGAAAATGACTGAAACAATTTAAATTCAATTGTCAAAATATTACTCAGCATGTTTGTCATCAGAAGCATGAGAATAAATTTTTATCATGTCTGCAGTTAAATGATTGTTATGAAGACACTGATTAATGTGAACACACTTCTTCAAATAATAAAATGATTACATCACATCAGACAGTTGAAACTTCAGTGACACATCTGAATTTTGAGTCAGTTTCACATCTGAAGTCAATCTGAAGAATATAATGTAGCTAAAAAAATGCTGAAACAACTCAGTAAAAAGTATGCTAATGTTCTGATCAAGATTTTATCACAAAATGCCACTCACATAAATGTGAAAATGAAATACAATCTGAATGAGAACATCAGTCTAGAATCTAGATGCAGTCATCATGAAGTGAACAACTGTCATTGCTCAGCAAGCAGACATAATTTTACAAAAAATCATGAGATGAAATTGATTCTAGTTGATGTTGAACAACTGAAGTGATCTTGAATTTAAAATTAAAAAAACATCATCAGCAAGACTGTGTGAATGCTGCTGAAAGGCTGTGAAATGAACACAAAAATGATAGAAAAAAGCAAGATTTTGTCAAGTCATTTGTTTTGTCACAACTGCTCAAGCACTAAACTAAGAAAAGATGCTGCTGTGTTAAAGCAGTCATTCTGATTTTAACAAAAAGTTTGAACTGTGTCTTCACAAATCATCTGACATTGTTCTTCACACTCTCTTCAGCATCTGTAGATAGAAATCTGAATTTTAGCTTTCATTATTTTTCTATTATAATAAAAAAGTAAGTCTTAACTGTTTGTGTGTTGCTGATCACTAATCTGTCTCACAGACTTTCTGCTTTTTGTTTTGTTTTTTGTGCTGAGTAATGACTTCAAGTTCTGTTCAGCAAATTATGTGTTGATGCTAGTCAGAAATTTCTGAATGTTTATTCTGCTCATTATCTGATTAATTTTCTTCACACTCAGAGAGACATTCACAACATCTGTCTGTGCATGTCAGCTGATTTTCATCTTCTTGTCATCTCAAGTCTCAGCAGTCAGAAGTCCAGCTCTCAAAAAAGAATTCATAAATGAATTCAGAGGGAGATGAATACTCAAGAAACTCAAGATCAAACCCATTGGTATTTTGATGGATGGTGAATCTTCTCTTTCTGTTTGAGCTTATGAAGATGCATAAAAGACTTCTAAAGCAGAAGCAATACCACAGAAGCAACATTCAAGATCACTCTATATCAACACATATCTTGCAGGTGTAAGAATGTATAATAATGATAGTAACCAACTGATTGGAAACATTCAGTATTGAAATATAGGAATCAGTTCAGACTTGAAAGTGAAAGATAGTTAAGGGTGGTGTTACACGCACACCACATTTATTATTCTGACACTACATGCTTTGTAAGCACCATTAGCACACTACATATAAATCTGTAAGCAGTATAGTAAAGTATTAATAATACATCACATATAAACTGGATGCCAAGTCATTAGTAATATTGATCACTTCAATATTTTTAAATTGTGAGATGAAAAAGCAAGAGATTGAATGAAAATCTGCTCTGATTCTCAAAATCATTCATCAAATTTTCTTGCTGTTGTTCACAAATTTACTTGCTCTATTAAATAACTAATATAAATCTCAATAATAATAATTATCACTCAAATAATTGTTTCTCATGTATTCAACTGCTTTTCTTTTTATTCAATCACTTGATTTGACAAATGAGTTTCTAGTTGTGAATGCAGAGTCTCAGATGAAAATTGTTGATCTGTCTGACAAGACAGATCTGAGACTGCAAATCTCACTGTCAAACTAGCTGTTTGTGAGTAAATTCACTGAGAATTTGAAAGATAATTCATTAGAAATTTGTAGACAAATTCACTAGACAATTAAGCTTCAAATCTCTCAAATTCATGATTTTTTCTGAAAATCAGACTCTGTTTTCTAATTGAGTTTAGTGTAGTTTAAAATCTTTACATCATCAGTGTTGTAAAATATCAGGATAGTCAATATTACTAAGAGCTTGACATTTTTTTTATTGAAGTTTATATGTAATGTGTTGTTAATATCTCACTATACTGCTTACAGATTTATATGTAGTGTGCTAATAGTGATTACTCAGCACTTATTAAGCTGGTGGTGTCAGAATAGTAAATGTGGTGTGCGTGTAACGCCACCCATAGTTAATGATATGTTGCTCAAAATTATCCAACTGGTAGCTTCAGTGGCGCAGGGGTAGCGCATGAGATTGCAGTGACATCACTTCAATTATCTCCAGGTCGTGCGTTCGAATCGCACCTGAAGCTTATATGATCACATTTTTGTTTCCCATCAGTAATTCTTCTTTTTCAACTCCTGCACAATATTGTGACTTTTTGTTTTCATTCAGTGCTATTCAATGTTTTTGCCCCTCTCCAGTCCGATATGACAAGCAGCATCCGAAGCCAGGACACATATTATATCCTCAACGCCCTGGCTCTTTTGGTGGATTGCATGTTTGTAAGTACGGCTTTTTAATCCATATTTATTGACCGCTATTATATCTATCTACGGTATTGTTTTGAAACTCCCATCAATTTCGCAGTGCATTACTTCGGCTATCTCGAACCCTCTCTACCAGTGAAGCTAGTCTCCATCGAGCTAGCCTCCAACAGCGCGGATGCTCCATGATTCAGTGCGGAGATGGTCACCTCATGAGGAGTTATTCCTTCCTAGTGGGGTAGGTAGTCGATGCTGCTGAGTTGTTGAGGATTTCTGCTATTTCCACTCAATCGATTGACAATTCACTGCTATTATTTCACTTACAATCGCCTCAATGGCACAGTGATAGCACGTGGGATTGCGTTATCTCTAGGTCATGCGTTCGAATCGCATTTGGGGCTGGCTAGTGGTTTTCTTCTTTTGCGGTTCGTTCAGAGACTCAGCATGGTGGCCTTTTATGGATTCTTCGGCATCTCGACAGCTTGTTGTTGTTTGTCTTTTTGAGTTTGGGCGGCCCACAAATCCGCTGCTGCAGTGGGAACGAATGGAAGCTTTTTGTTGGGGATTCCCTGAACGAACTCTGATTCTGACACACCAAAAAAATCAAGGTTGATCTGCATATTGCGCACGATGATGGACGAGGAAATCTGTGGATATTTTCGGAGAAGAAGTAGAAGGAATCGGGATACGAGTGGGCTGTTTTATTTAAAAACGACAAAATTGATCTATCTTGATTGCTGATGCTTCTCGTTTCTTCAACATTACAAGGTGGCTTACCGTCATCTCAACGTTGAACCCTCGTTGTGGAATTTCGTCACTTTGTTGTCATCAAGTGCTGTCAGAGTGAAGCGAAAATCTCAGTCAAGTCCACACAGTTCTGAGGTTGTATGTCGAACTCCTACAATATCAAATACGGCGATTCCAAGGCGGATTCAGAGGCCTAAGATACATCATATCTTTCTCTCTTAGTGGCATCACCAGCAACAACCACTCTAATGGGTGAACCAAACCATCCTCTCGACATGAACACGGCAATCACAGCATTCGACGCAATGGCTGTCGACCAGCCCCACGACCAACTCCGCGCGCATGGTCTCTGTCCCGAATCCCGTGTCCTCATCATCATGACGGGCGGAACAATCTGCATGCGTCGTTCCCCGTCAGGATTCGTGCCTGCTCGAGGGTTTCAAGAAGCAGCGCTTCGTCCCTCGCCCACATTCAACGATGGCTCTAATCCTGGACCCGTCGATATCGTTGTCAACGCGGCTGGTGAGCGGAGGAGTTATCCAACACTGCGAACCCCACCGAGCACGGCTGATGCTCGTGTGCGGTATGCAGTGTACGAGTTTGAAGAATTGCTAGATAGCAGCTCCATCGATGCAAGGGGATGGGCGCAGATCGCGAGGACAATTTATTGGAATTACACTCTCTTTGACGGATTTGTAGTTCTGCATGGCACGGATAGCTTGGCGTATACGTGCTCGGCGTTGAGCTTCATGTTCCATAACCTGGGCAAACCGGTCATTTTAACCGGGTCTCAGGCGCCCATGTTGGAGCTCCAGAACGACGCGACGGATAATCTCCTGGGATCCCTCGTGATTGCAGGACATTTTATGATACCAGAGGTGTGCTTGTATTTTAATTATAATTTGTTTCGCGGAAACCGAGCCACCAAGGTTGCGGCCAGCGAATTCGCTGCTTTTGCGTCGCCCAACTGCCCACCGTTGGCGGTCACGACGTCGATGAGGACGCATGTGAAGTGGGATTTGGTGTACAAACCTACGTCTATCAAGCATTTCAGCATCCAGACCAACTTAGACACGTCGCATGTGGCCTGTCTGAGAATCTTCCCGGGTATCAAGCCCGAGATGGTCGACGCGGTTCTCAGATTACCAGGACTCCGTGGGTTGGTTCTGGAGACGTTTGGCGCTGGAAATGCACCTGGAGGGCAAGATAATGCGATGACGAAGGTGCTCGCGGATGCGATCCACCGTGGGATTGTCATTGTTAATGTCACACAGTGTATGTTTCGAGCTACTTCGCATCCTTGCTCCATTTACGTTTTTCCTCCGTTGACAGTACTAACGTGTGGATTTTAGGCTTATCTGGAACTGTGAGCCCAGTGTACGCTCCCGGCATGACTTTGTCACGGGCTGGCGTTGTTGCCGGATTAGATATGACTACGGAGGCGGCTCTCACTAAACTCGCTGTTCTACTGGGGATGTCGGACGCAACGCCGCAGTCTGTGGCGAGAGATATGGCCATCTGTCTTCGAGGAGAACTCTCAGAACACTCTCACCCCCTCTTCAGACATCCCGACGGTGCCTTGCCCGATCGAATTAAGAATCTGGCGGCGCTCGGCTACGCAATTGCGGAAGGAAACCTGGGAAAAGTGAAAGACATCCTGCGGGTGGAGCAGGACTGGATCCTCAACGATGCAGATTATTCGGGAAATACACCCCTGGTAAGATTTTTCGTCATATTTCTTATTGTTGTATGTTTGCTTCTTGCTTAAAACGGTATGTCTAGCACCTGGCGGCGACTTCACCCAATCTTGGCATATTGCGACACTGCCTCCTCCACGGTGGCTCAGTCCATCTACGAAACCATGCAGGGCGGACGCCGTTGTTCCTCGCGGCCAATGCTGGGCTGAAGGATCATGTTGTCCTGCTCCGACAATCCGGCGCGCATCTGCACGAAGACGAGCGCGGAGTAGCTGAGTTGCATGCGCGCCGACGGTCAGATGTATGGGCACTGGCGGGAGTGGATATGCAGGCGGTGAAGCTAATAACGGATGGCGCATCTGATTCCGAGCAGGAGATCAGGACGAATGGGGAGGTGATGGTGCATTCATAGGATGGTGTTTGTATTAGAGGAAAGAGATGCTTTAGATAATATTCGAAAAACTTGGAAGGAATGGTGTTTGAGGTTTAGAATTTTTGTGATACATGATGTATAACTAATCGATAGAACTGAGCGCAAGGTTGACTCGATAATTGATGAACTCCATCTCGTATGTATTGATGGCGGCGGATACTCTCGCACAGGAATTCCGGATCCATCGAGGTGCATGAGAGATACGAAAACAACAATAATAATAAAGAAGAATTAAAGGAAGATTAATATCAATGAAGTTGAATCAACTCGGACGAGATGGTCAATTCAGGGAACGAAACAGAAAAGTGCGGAGAGAGTAGAACTAACTAACTAACTAAGTACTTGGTATTCGTGAGCCAAGGCCGGAACAAATCAAGAGTTGAGAAAAGCTTCGTTGAGGTCACCGGGTCAGATGCTGGCGATGGAGTGTTCTAGACCAGGGTAGTACTAGTTATCCATTCCTGAGAGAGTGGGAGAGAGTGGGATTCATTCTTCTTTTCTTATTTACATAGTAATCCTGCGTGTTAGATGTTCAAATATGATACACCCCATGTACTAAATACTAATAACGAGTTTCTGTCTGATCGGAATGTTGACGGAAAAGACTATTTCCGGATGTAGATGTGATTGGCTGCTTCTTCTCTTCATCTTCTTCAACTTCTACAAGTATCTCTCTCGATGATATATACTGTGGTATGGATGGACTGATCAAGATATCAAGACATGATTATGATAATAATGATAATGATCTGGTTGTAGCATACGGTAGCATCGTAGCCTCGACAGGATGTGAATGCTGTGCCACTCTCCTCTCTATCTCTCTCCCTCTCTCTCAGTCTCGCTTCTTCCCGTTGTACCCCGACTGTCGTGCTTGTTTTCCTTTTTCTTTGCTCTCCAAAACTACGAATCATCCTTGCTGGCCACATTCTGGCCTAGGATCCCCCACCCCGGCGTTTTCAATATCAAGCTTTCTTGAGTCTTGACCGACACACAACTCGCCCCTATCTATCACCTATATACACAGTGCTAATGTATGTAGGTTTCTAAAAAAGATAAGAAACTGCTGTATCTTCCCCCTTTTCTCGCTTTTTTCCCTTTTCTTCAATGCCCCGCTTTGAGTTAACTAGTGAGTTGGTTAACTAGTTAAGTTACCGGTCCTGCTAGTAGGTGGTTATCAACTGTATCACTTGACCAGCAGCATCATCATCATCCATCATCATCTCCAATCCCGTCGCAGTCAAAAGCACTAACTATCTATCTTGCTCGTCTGCTCTATTCTCTTTCTTTCAAAAGTCCAGATTATCTCAATTCTACTCCTGCCACTAATCCTATGACTTGAGTGCTTCACGGATTCCTTATCGCTGCCGCCGCTTAATCCAGCCTTGAATACCTCACCAGATCTCCTTCAGATGCGGTATTGATCTCCCCTCGATATCTGCCGTTTTGTCGTCTACCATTGGGACAGCTGGGTTGGAAACCCAAACAACCTAAAAAGAAAAAAAGAAAGAAGAAGAAAAAGACGAAGAAGAAACCAATCGCTGTGGTGGATGAAGCTCTCCTTTCATCGAAACAGGGCGCCTCTGGCATTGACCTTCAACCCCAAATAACGAGACCGTCTTGCCTTCCGCGTCGTTTTCCCAGGACAAAATCCGAATGACACAAACGAAGACTATTGCCGTTGTTAATGCTGCCGGCCGTCAAGCAGCATCGCTCATTCGCGTTGCCTCCGCCGTCGGATACCACGTGCGAGCCCAGATCCATTCTCTCCAGGGGGTGATACCACAAGAACTGAAGAGTCTGCCGAATGTGACTCTCTTCAAAGGACCGCTCCTGAACAACGATGCGCTGGTAAACTCCCTTTTCGAGGGTGCGCAGCTGGCCTTCATCAACACCGTGTCGCAAGCCGGCGATGAGGTGGCCATCGGACGCGCGCTAGCCGATGCGGCGAAACGATCCGGCACACTCCAGCACTATGTCTACAGCAGCATGCCGGATCATTCGATCTACAATCCGCGCTGGCCCAGTCTGCCATTGTGGAGCTGCAAGTTCGCGGTGGAAAACTATGTCCGGCAGCTCGGCCTTCCGGCTACCTTTGTGTACGCCGGGATCTACAACAACAACTTCACCAGTCTGCCCTATCCGCTGTTCTGTATGGAGCTGATGGGTGATGGCGGGTTTGAATGGCGTGCTCCCTTCCACCCTGACATTCCGCTCCCGTGGCTGGACGCCGAACACGACGTGGGCCCGAGCGTTCTGCAGATCTTCAAAGATGGGCCCAAGAGGTGGAATGGACATCGGTAAACAAGAACAGATCTATGTAGCTTTTTTTATTTTTATTTTTATTTTTGCTTTTACTTTATCTATTTGGATTTACACTTCTCTGTCTAACACTTTATTTTTTCTCCTCCCTTTAGGATCGCCCTATCATTTGAGACCTTGACCCCCCGACAAGTTTGCGACGCGTTCTCTCGCGGCCTCGACCGTCCCTGCACGTACGTTCACGATCCGCGAATCGAGATCAGAG